GCATGTTTCTTTTTGTGGGTGAATATAGAGCTAGGGGTCATAGTTTAAAATAAGGGAGCGCTCATGTAAACCACAGAAGTGGAAAAATTTTTCCTCTCAGAGGGTTGTGAGTTTTTGGAATTCCTTCCTCAAAAGACAGTGGATGCAGAAACTTTTTATCTTTTATGACAGAGGTAGACAGATTTTTGATTATCAAGGAGATGAAAGGTTATTGGGGATATGTAGGAGTGTAGAGTTGAGGTTAAGGTTAGGTCAGCCATGATCTTATTGAATGATGGAGCAGGCTCAAGGGGCCGACTGACCTGCTGTTGTTCCTTATTTGTACATTCTCCTCCAAGCCACATATCATCCTGACTTAGAAACACATTGTCATTCCTTCACTGTGTCAAAACCTTGGAACTCCCTTCCTAACAGCTCTGCACGAGTGCATACACCCCATTGACTGAAGCAGTTCAAGAAGACAGCTCACCAAAGATTCCTCAAGGAAATTAGGAATGGGCAATAAATACTAGCATAGTCAATGATGCCCACATCCATAAACAAATGTACAAAAATAGATTCATGGAATCCAAGGCTAACAGAACGTCAAAAAGAAATAGGCCGGTAGTTCATCATACTCTCTGACAACTATTCAGTTCTGAATACTGACGAAAGTGATATATCATATGGGGGGAGTGCAGTCATGACTGTAAAACCATGGCATGCACAAAGATGACTGGAAGAGCAATAGCTTTAAGAGATTCAATAGTGAATGGAGAACAGACAGGCCTTTCTGAGGCTACTGATGTGAATCCATAATAGTATATTGCCTCCATGGTGCCAGGGTAAAGATGACATTTAAAGCTGCAGTGCACACTGAGGGGAAGGATGAACAATCAGTTGTCATGTTCTACCAATGGCACAGGGAGAAAGACAGATATGGTCCTATAGTCAAAATTTAGAGAGTTAAGGTTGAGGGAATATTGAAAATTCTGAAGGAAACGTCAAAAATATTAATCTCTGAATTATACCCAGGCCTCATGCTCTGAGCATAGAAATAGGAGGACAGAACTGATGAATGGGTGGCTGGAGAAATAGTGCAAGAGTGAGAGCTTTAGATTCTTGGGAGATTGGGATCAGTTCAGGGGGACATGGTAGTTGTACAAGCTAGATAGGTTGAAACTAAATAGAGCCAGGACTTGCAAATCATTGTTGGGGAGAGTTTAAACTCACTTGGTGGAGATGGGGAAACCAGGAGTTAGAAAGGGATATCAAGGTGTCAAGAATTTAGCAAAGAATACAGATAGTCCTAGAGTAGGAAATAATAAGATATTATTTGAGTTCAGCATAAGAAAATAATAAAGTCTAAATTATGGCTACTGTGCATGTATTTGAATGCACTGTTTAGTAAATAAGATTAGTGAGTTGCAGACACAGATAGCCATTCATTGTGGTAATAAGAAACCTGGCTTAAAGAATGAATTAAACAATCCTGATCCAAGTTGTTTGGGTAAGATAGGAACGGAGGGGAAGAGTATCAATTAGGGAGAATATTGCAGTTTTGGAGAGAGAGGGAGTCCAGAGGGGTCAAGGATAGAATCTACACGAATAGAACAAAAGGACAAAAATGGTGTAATTAACACTGCTTAATGTAGTCCATAAGCCATCAAGATACTGAGTTACAAATTTGCATGAAAATTATAGGGAATTGCTAAAATTCTAAACTAGTTATAATGGAGGACTTTAATTATCAGAACATAGACATCCAAAAGTGTTTTTAGGAAAGTTTTCCACAGTTTTATGTGTTCAGTGCAAATAACAAGGAGGTCTTGCTGAATCTGATTCTTGGAAATGAGGTGGGTCAAGTGGCAATAGACTAAGATTTAGGCAAGAGTGATCATTGTATGATAAGATTTAGGTTGACTATGGACAAGGACATAAAGCAGTGCAGAGTAAGAATAATTAACTGGGGAAAATTGAACTACAATGGGTTCTGAAAAGGAGCCACATCAACATGCAGCATTAACTCTATGTTTCTCTTTCTATAGTTGCTGTTAGATCTGCAGCGTTTGTCCAGCACCTTCTGTTTTTATTTCAGATTTCCAGCATCTGCAATATTTTGCTTTTAATCAATGGGTTAAAATGGAACTGTCTCAGAGATGATTAAAGATTAGCAGGCAAAACTGTCCCTGAACAATGGACTGCCATTAAAGAAGAGAGAGTTCAAGGAGAATCAAGGTATAGTCCCAAAAAGAGGAAAGGAAAGGAAAATAAATCTAGAGCTCACAGGATGGAAGAGGGTAAGATGAAGCAAAACAAAAGTGCATTAATTACAGATGTCGGTGGTAATACATTTGAGGACCAGGCTGAACATAAAAGGTTTGGAGGGGTAATTGATAATGCAAATAAGAGAAGCAAAGAAAGAATATGAGAAGAGACTAGTAACTAATTTAAATAATTCAAAATTCATAAATATGCATATGAATATTAAAATAGGGGTCAGATGAGTAGGTCGGAATAGGGTCCAAAAAGATGTAGGGAAGGGCTTGGCTGTAGCATTAAATTAATATTTTGCTAATGCCTTTACAAATAAGAAGATGCTATGCAGATAATGACGACTAAAAAAAAGTTAATTTAGATATGCTAAAGGATTCAAATTGATAATTGATAAGAGATATTGGATTGACTATATGCACTTAAAATTGATGAGACATCAACACAGCATAAGTTGCATGTAAAGATACCCAAGGAAATGACAATGGAAATTGTGGAAATGTTGGTCATATTTTTTCCAATCATCTTGAGATGCAGATGTGATGCAGAGCACTGGAGAGTTGCAAATATTACATCCTTATTAACAAAAAAATGTACAGATAAATTAATAAATACAGTTCAGTCAGCTTATCCATATAATTGGGGAAGCTTATAGAAATGTTAATTCAGGACAAAATTAATAGTCATTTGGGCAAATGCAGGTTAAAAGTCATTATGGATTTGTTAAGTAAAATTGTGTTTGACTCGCTTTGAGATTTTGATGAAGTAACAGATGGTCGAAGAGGATGCCACACAACAAATATGTCAACAAAGTTCAAGGAATTACAGAACAGTGGTAACATGAATACAAAATTGGCTGAGTGACAGAAAACAAAGGGGAATGATGATTGGTTGCTTTTTCACCTGGAGGCAGGTTTATAGTATAGTTCCCCAAGCATTGGTGTTGTGATTTCTTAATGGAAATTAATGACTAGACCTTGATGGACAGGGCACAATTTCGAAATCTGTGGATGATTCAAAACCTAAAACTGTTGTACAACATGAGGGGTTGATATAGAACTGCAAAATGACATATACAGGTTATTGAATGAAAAGAAAAGTGACAAATGAAATTTAATGCAAAGATGTATGAACTGATTCATTTTGGTAGAAAATGCAAACAGCAGGACCAGAGTCAGCTGGGCGCATATATACATAAATCATTTAAGGTGGCAGGACAGGTAGAGAGTGTGGTTAATAAAGTATATGGAATCCTAAGCTTACTATGTAGAAGGATAGGGCAAAATCTTATAGGGGTTTCAGCTACATGTGTTATGGTGAGATTTGTGGCAGAATCAGAAGAGAAGTCCAATGATGCCTATAACAATGTCATCTTGCAGATATTTCTAACCAATCTATTCAGATGTGTTATGAGACACCTCTATGGCAGATGGGACTCAAACCCAGACAATCTAGCCAGAGGCAGGGACGCTATCATTGTGTCACAAGAACCCCTGCTCTGTCTTTTGTGCTTTTCATGAGATTCTTGCTAGGTTGTAGCAAGTTACCAATGAAAGGAATTACTGCTTGTTAAATACCTTGTTAAGCACACACCTCACTTCATTAACATTCAGCTTCATTTCTTAGTAAATGTGCCAAACAAGCTAGGCATCGCAGAGAACTCAGAGCAGATGCCTGATGAATTCAGTTCACTGCTTACCCAAAAAGCTCTCCACATTGGTAACTAGGCACCAAAATCTCAGGGCATGCCCCATGGGCACCAGTCACATGCATCCCACATCCATGGACATTAGATGTGCGTGAGCTAAGAACCATCATGGCACATCTCTGATCAGTTTATTAAATGCTTCTACACTTTAATGCTGACTTGAGCTGCATGAGCACCTACTATTTTAACGCTGCTGCAAGGACTCTATGTACTCAAGGCACGTACCCAGCTCATGGACCAGCTCAGACTACATCACTGCGTTCTTCACTCGCTGTCATACAGATGACTCACTCTGAGCATTACTGAATGCTCACAGCATCACTGACTTCCACTACCTTGTCTTGTCTTTTTGCACTTTTCTCCCTCAATTAGAGAGATTCCAAGCTCATATTATGTCTATATTGCCTTACCACTTAGAGCAGCCACAAATGTAGGAAGCTTGTTCTCGTTGTCAGTAGGCCTCCAAAAGTCATAGAGATCTACAGCAAAACACAGCACAGCCCTTCGGCACTTTGCCAGTCAAAAACCACCTAATTATTCTAATTCCATTTTCCAGGCTTGACCCATAGCCTAGTATGCCTTAGCATCACAAATGTACATCTAAATAATTCTTAAATGTTACGAGAGTTTCTGCCTCTACTACCCTGACAGGCTGTGAGTTCCAGATTCCAGTACCCTTTGGTGAAAAAAGATTTTCCTCACATCCCTTCTAAACCTCTTGCCCTTTACTTTAACCTTCACCAAGGGAAGTATATGCACCTCATAATTTTATATACCTCAATCGTGTTCTTCCTCAGTCTCTTCTGCTCCAGGGAGAACAACTCCAGTTTATCCAATCTCTTTTCATAACTAAGATCTCCAGCCGAGGGAAAATCCTGTCCAGAACATCAAATCCATCTTATAATGTGGATTCCAGAACTGTACGCCATTCTCTGCCTTATCAAACTTGTTTCATTATTTCCAAGTGTTACACGTTTGGATATTTAAAGAATTAAAGCCCCATGAACACAAAAGAAATATACTTATGTGACGCTCCTACCCCACTTCATTTAGAGTTTCTGCAACTTCTTTCCAGATAATTTCATTCTTCTTGTAGTTAGTTTCGAGTTGCAGCATGTTCTCATAGTTAGCACAGTACTCTTTGTAAGCGTCTTCCAGCTCTCGTTTGAAGGCGAGAAACACATTACCTTTCAGAAGAAAAACATCTGTGAATCATCAGGGAATACTGCAACGTTTAAGGGCAAATATAGATAAATGGTTGAACAAGAGGAAAACACTGGTCTGGAGATGATTGGGCAGTGAGATTCATAAACTGTTGACACACACACAAGGGGCCTAATGAACTTGCTATGTCCTGGAAACTTATATTGCTACTTTTGAAATATTAGATTTTCTTTTACAATTAAAATATTATCTTTCTAAAGACCCTAGTGTATTACAAGAAAATTTGAATAACCATAAACTATTAATTCAAGCTACAAACCTGACCTCAAAAATGTAAGGTCGTCTTTTGAAATTCTCCTGTACCATAAATATGTTTACAATCGATAGGTTGAGGAAGAAAAAACACTAGTTTCAACTAAGATTTAAGCAGTTTTTCACATGTACCAGATCAGTCTGAAACAAGGCCACTGCTGAGTGTTGGAAGTAACTTAAGCATAACTTGTGAATGTTATTTGTTAATAATTATGGAACATAAAAGGATTGACACTTTAGAAATAATATGTATAAAGCTAAAAAAGCATTGAAACATTTTTTTTTTGTTTTCAATTTATTCATTCATGGGATGTGAGCGTTGCTCGCTGGAACAGCATTTATTGCAAACTCCTAGCTACCCTTGAGCTACCGTCTTGAACTGCTGCAGTCCATTTGGTGTAGATACTAAAAGCATTCTAAGGAACGTTGGTGAATTTCTAGGGATGGTAGTTGGAGCTGCTACTAAGCATTGGTGGTGAAGGAGCTGGATGTTTGAAGATGTGGAAGGGGGAGGGAGGCCTCTTGTGAAACAGTGGAAGTGTCCCTATCGCTAGACTGGGAGACCCAGGTTCATGTCCCACCTGCTCCAAAGGTGTGTAATAACATCTCCTGAACAGGTTGATTAGAAAAATAGGCAAAATAAAAACATTTTTAAAAAATTCTCAAGCCAAATGCTTGATTTTGGATGGTGTCAAGCTTCCTGTGTGCTGTTGGAGCTACATTCATCCAGATAAATGGGGAATATTCCATCCAGACCAGTGCCTAGTAGATGGTAAACAGACTTTAGGAATTCAGGAGGTTATTTACTAGTCACACAATTCCTAGCCTCTAACCTGCTCTTGTAGCCACTGTATTTATATGACTAGTCTATTCAGTATCTGATCAATGATAACTCCTGGGATGTGGTAGTGGAGGGCTCAGTGATGGTAATATCATTGAATGTCAAGGAGCAATGGTTAGAATACCCCTTGTTGGAATTGGTTATTGCTTAATATTTGTGTAACACAAATGTTACTTGCCACTTGTCATCCTATTTCTGGATACTGTCTAGGTCTTGCAGCATTTGCCCTTGGAGTGTTCCAGTATTGGAGGAATCGCAAATGTTGCTGATCATTGTGTAATCATCAGCAAACATCCCCACTTCAACCCTTAAAACAGAGGGAAGGTCATTGATGAAGCAGCTGAAGATGGTTAGGCCGAGGACACTATCTTGAGGAATTTCAGCAGAGATGTCCTGGAGCTGAGATGACTGATCTCCAACAATGTGCTAGGAATGACTCAGCCAGCAGAGAGTTTTTTTCCCATGATTCCCAATAACTCCAGTTTTGCAAGGACCCCTTGATACCACACTCTGTCAAATATGGCCTTGATGTCACTCTCACATCACCTCTGGAATTCAGCTCTGTTATCTATATTTGAACCAATCCTGTGATAAAGTCAGGCACTGGCCGAACCCAAACTGGGCATCACTGAGCAGGTTATTGCAAAGCAAGTACTGCCTGATAGCACCGTTGATGACACCCACCATCACCTTACTGAGCAGAATCTTCAAATGGCAGCTGTGGTTTTAGCTGTAAGTGTTGGGGAACCATTGAAAGACTCATGTTCCTTCTTTTAAGGAAGACTTGCCACATCTTTTGCCAACTGGGCAGCTTTGAGGACAACAGCAGGTCTTCCCTCTAGTATGAGATTCCACCCCAAAGGGGGCAGAGGGAGCCCTCTGGCAAAAGCTGCTGCCCAATCAGAAGTTGAGTAGTGCCTTGAAGGATGTTATAGCTGCTGCCAGAACAAGAACACTGGAGTCCAGGATGCAGGAATAAAGTACATGATGTATCATGGGATTGAGGTCATTGGAAGCTTTTGGGGGAGAAAGCCCTTAAGTGGACATTAATTGGCAGCAGTGCTTGTGGATCAATCACCTAAGACATCCTCATCCACAATTCATTTCCAGCAGACGCGGGATGGTGCGGGTATCAGGTATGCCTACATGCCACCTAATTCCCGCCTTCTAACTCTCCATCTCCACAAGCACAAGATTACATCCATAGCTGCAGATAACCTATAGATATGCCATTTCTAAATTCTAATTGTTGATTTGCCTGTGAAGAATTAATGCATGCTTTAAAACAACAGTGATTATTAAGGTTTTGGGCATTATAGTGCTAATATGCTTGAACTATGATAGTTTGATGTTTATTTGTAGCCACACTGCTCCACAATTGCTAACAACATGAATGAAGAAAATTTGTAGAGAAAACTGACCTTGCTATTCTGATGTATCTTTCGCAGTTGAGAGTGAAGCAATAATTTCAAAACCCTGAAATCGGGTCACCTTGTTTGAACCAAAGCATTGCCAAGGTTCCAATTGAGATCCTACCTACAGAACAGCTGCTTAACTGTGAGATAAGGTGATGAGTCAGGGCACTGTTCAGGGAGTTGATAATCTTGTTTCCATGGTGAAAATGAACATTAGATCTTACGAGAAAAGCATCATTTTTTCGTTTAAGTGTGTGTTAATATTTCCCATCTTGAATAGACACAGGACACTCTTTTAATTGCATTAATTTGAAAAGAAAATCCAAAATTCCTGAGGAAGTGCTCCACTGGTATAACACCGGCAAAGCAAACTCTCCACCAAGCCCCTTCAAATACCCCAAAAGCACATTCCAAATCCTGGAGATAAGGTCACAGTAGGCTGATTAATGCCTGACTATGCAGCGCCAATCCCAATCTGTCCTCTAAAGCCCCATGGAGCCTAAGAGAAAAGGAACCAATCTGTCTTTGGACAAGGTAATAGGATGCCCCATAGATTCACTCCCTCAGGTTAGTAAAGTGTCAGGCCCTCAAAGGAACTCATACTAACTATGAACAGGGCACGAGGGAAGGACTTGGAATATCTAATGGAATTCAAAAAAAAATGGTAAATGGGGAAACTCCTAGTCTTCAGTTATAACTCACTTAAAATTTATTTCACTTACACAGAGAGTTAAAACAGACTCCATGTGCAACCAAGTTCTGCGTCAAATCTCAGCTTTTATTTTCCACACTCCACAGATCCAAGAATCTTTGGAGCCAATCTTTCCTTCCGCTGTTTTACTGAAATTTATGTTAGTTTACTTTAATGGAGTAATGAGGCAAATCTCATAAAATGTGAGTTTTTTATGCGACTGTTTAAATTCTGTTCAACTGATGTTCTGAAATTATTAAATAAACCACATAAGTACTTTCTTTCTCAACTAATAACGTAATTGTGAATGCAAGGACTGGAGGAACATATAAAGGAACTTTACTTGAAAAACAAAACTAAAATTGTTAAATTTTACAGCTACCTTGCAGAGCAACATATATATGATACACAATAGATTTTAAAATGCCTTGCAAATTCTTTTCTGCCTAAAAAGATTAGATTCCTGCTCCACATTAGAAAAAAGATTCAAAATGAATAATGATCGAGTATATCAATCCTTCAGAAACCTGTTTACTTTTGAAGATAAGCAATGCAGCCAGCTTTATTTGAAGGTATGGATCTGAAATCACAGGTCGAGATTTTTTTTATAAATCTAAATATTACACCTGTTAGCAGTTACAGCAACTTTTTTTTTATCTGCAGCATTTTCTAATAGGAGGACATCAAGCTGGAAGTGTAAGGGCAGTAATTAACTCAGGTGATGGGTATGTCACTGGCTGACTGGAGAGCTGGTGAGCAACTTACAGCTTCTGCTTTTGGGAAGATCTACTATACTAAGTGCCAACCAGGCACTTGACTAACCAGTGGAATTCTCTTCCTACAATCAAGGACCTTGGAGGCAGAAATCCTGCTCCTGTAGAGCAGGCAGCCTAGAAAAGGCATTAATTACCCATTAAGGAATCTTAATTGGCAGTCAGCTGGGAAGGCTGTCCACCACTGTCTCCTATTCCTCCCCAAATCACCATCTAATGTGCTGCCAAATCAAGGACTCCACACTGCCAACTCCAGCTATTCCGCTACAGTTTGTCAAATCCTTACACTATTCATAGACATTAAACAATTTCCAATAAAGAGATTAATTGTTTTGTTAGAATTATGGAAAGAAGAATGTCAATGTGTTAGTGCTCACTCATTAATATTGCCAATAGTAGTTTCTAAGTTCAAATAACTAGATGTGAGGGCTAATTCTATGTTAATTTATGAATGAGACAGAATGCAATGTCCAGGAATGAGTCTGAATATCTAAATTCCTAACTAAATAAATCATCACTTGAATGCATGAGAAAAGTTAGAATGTTAAGATAGCTGTGGAGATGGATAACTTAAACAGAAATTCTACTGAACAGCTGACATGTTACATGATTTCGCATTTTAAGACTTTTATTGTAACAAACTAGTAGAAACATTACCTAAACATTATTTTGGCATATAATGTATACTCTAAACTACAGAACAGATTTTTCTTTTTACATTTAAAATGACCAAAAGTTTCCCGCAATGGTTAGACTTTACCCTGTCTCATAAGTAGACACTCTATTCTCTTGAAAAAAGTTCAGAATGATTCTCAACACCAAACATCTTATTTCCTTTTCTTTTTCAACCGGGTAACTCCTAATCCTGGAACAATGAGGATGAATTAGAAGTTTCTCCCACCAACTAAAGCTATGCCAGTCTTTTTAAAATCCTTCCAACCTCAGTCACTTCACCCTGAAAGAGTTCTCCCACTTGCATTCTTGCATGGCATATACTAGAGACTTGTTACCTCTATTTCTTTGGTCTCTCTTTGCAGAATACTGGCAGACTGGCTTGTCTGTGTAATTTAAGATGATTGTCAAGGACAGTCTAATTAGGAAAACCTTGTTATTCTGTTCCTACAACAACTTCCTTATTCATCCTCTCCCGCTCAAGCCTATCTCCATTGCAAGGTGAGTCACATGACCTTTGTATCCGCTAAACATGCTGATTAGTTACTTTTCAGATGTCAATTCTATCTTAATCCAACCATCATCCTAAACTAAACTAGTCCCATCTGCCTGCACTTGGACCCTTCAAACATTTCTTATTCATGTACTTATCTAAGTGTCCTTTAAACGTTGTAACTGTACTCACATCCACCACTTCCTCTAGAAGTTCGTTCTACACACAAACCACTCTCCATGTACAAGAATTGTCCCTCTTTTTTTTTAAATCTTTCTCTTTTCAACTTATAAAAATATAAAAATATTATTAAATACATTAAATATAAAAATATGTCCCTTAGTCTTGAAATACCCCACCCTCGGGAAAAGACAGCTGCCATTTACATTATTTATACCCCTCAGGATTTTATAAATATCTGTAAAGTCATGCCTCAACCTCCAACGCTCCAGTGAAAGAAGTCCCAACCTATCCAGCTTTTTCTCATTACTTAAACCCTCCATTCCTGGCAACATCCTGGCAAATCTTTTCAGAATCCTCTCCAGCTTGATAATATCCTTCCTATAACAGGGCAACCTGAATTGGCCACAGTACTCCAGAAGAGGCCTCACCAATGTCCTGCACAACCTCAATACGACGTTCTACCTCCTATACTCAAAGATCTGAGCAATGAAGGCAAGTGTGCTAAATGCTTTCTTAACTACCCTGTCTACATGCGACATAAACTTCAAAGAATTATGTACCTGAACCCCTAGGTCTCTCTTCCTACAACACTACCCAAGGCCCTAATTTTAATTGTACAAGTCCTGCCCTTGTTTGTTTTACCAAAATACAATATCTTGCACTTGTACAAATTATATTCTATCTGCCACTTCCCAGCCCATTGACCCAATTGATCAAAATTTCTTTGTAATCTTAGATAACCTTCTTCACTGTTCACTATACTGCCAATTTTGGTGTCATCCACAAATTTACTTGCCATGAGTTCTGTATTCTCATCTAAATTTATATAAATGACAAACAAAATTGGACCCAGCCCCAATCCCTGCGGAATACTGCTGGTAACAGGTCTCCAGTCTGAGAAATAACCCTCCATCACCACTCTGTCTCCTGTCGTTAAGCCAATTTTGCATGCAATTGGCAAGCTCACCCTGAATCCCATGTGATCCAACTTTACTAATTAGTCTACCATGCGGAATCTTGTCAATCTTCTTGGTTACTTCCTCAAAAAACTCAATCAAACCCTTGTCCTTCTAGGCTGTGGAGGTCAAAGGGTGTTGATAAGTTTCCGCAGTACAAATTTGAGAAGGTACACTCCACAATCACTGTTTGTCAGTGGTGGAGGGGAGTGAATGTTAACAGTGATGGAACGGGGTGCCAAACAGGTAGGCTGGTTTATCCTGTTTGAAGTCAAGCTTCCTGAATGTTGTTGGACGTGCAATCGTCCAGGCAAGTTTGTAGTAATCCATTACACTCCTGACTTGTTGGCTTGTAAATAATGAATAGGCTTTAGGGAGTCAGGATGCAAGTTACAACAGATTTTCTGACCTGCCACTTGGTACCTTAAACAATTTATGCCTATGCTGTTCGTAAAGTGTGATTTAGCGAAATAGGAAGTAGAGGGAGGATTGTATATAATTTGGGATCCTGTTCATTTTTAAATGAATGTGCTAAGAATAAAAACTAATGACGTTTGTGCATTCTGCAATTTAGAAAATGATTTATCTGTAAATATGTAATGATTTTAACACAGTAATCACAACACTTTTAAATTTTTACTACTAAATTGGAATTCAAATTACAAAAATAAATGACCTTGGCTGTATGTTTGTAATTTGTTCCTTTACAATATTCATGAAGATGATGTGATAAACATTTTCAAAATAAATTATGCTTGTTAAGTGCTACGATATGGTGGAGCAGATTTTACTCCTCCAGAGGCTGTTGTCTGAAGAAATTAAAGGAACATTTCTGTTCTTTCTGGATCCTTCAAATCAATTTTGGAAGAGGGTGGGTGCGCCTGAAATTGATCTTGGCTACTCCATCCTGTATTAGAGTTTCAGGTTGCACTAATTGATGGGGAATGTAGCACTCTTCTAGAACAGGCAGAGCAATATTGGATTTTTTAACCATCTAATTTCTCACTTAAGACACAGGAGCTGAATAAACACATTTTAAGACAGAAAATTCTGAAAGACAACTGTTTATTAGTTTTAGGAAAAAAATAACATTTAAGTGTACCTGTACCACACATAAATTATTTATTTAAAAAGCAAAGTTTATAATACAATGTACAAAATCAAACTGTAATTCCAAATAAAGCTTTCAGATTTAGATCTAGCACCTAGACAGAAATGTAGCTGCTGGTAAGTGTATGTATATTACAACCTCACTAAATCAGTGATGTGAGTTACATGAGTTTATTTCCCAATGCCTTTCATACAGCATGTGCCTTTTAATAGTCTTGATTTCCACTAGGCAATGCAAAATTGAATGAAAACAGTACCATGATTAAAACATTAGGAATGCTACATTCCGAACTAAAGATTTCTGGTATTTGACTGGCATTTGCACTCAGCTTTGCCTTGGGCATGGTTTATCATCTGATTAGAAAGAAAATGGGTCAGAACTATTCAGCATTGGTAACAAACCTAGCAAAAGTATGACATGACCTTGCACAGAACGATTGCCATCCATTTTAAGCCTATACAGGTCTAGGGCAGGGGTTTGAGGAGAATATCCGAGCTTTTGTCTTGAGGTATTTTAATTCCCAGACTTGACTTACATGGTGGGGCAAACAGCAGTCAGTAGCAGACAGGAATATAAGTAAAGATAACCAGCTACCAATGGCTACCACTAGGTGACAGAATGCTAATAAGCACTAAAGGGAATTTAAAGCTAGTCTCGTGTGAAGGAAGGGGGAAGAGCCTGAGCAGCGAGGCTGCCACTTTCCTTTGAAGTCTGGCAGGACACTCTTGATCTTCTTCACCCTGTTACAGCAATGTTTTCTACTTCCCTTAGAAGCTCTCTTTCTGACAGTGATAGATCTGCCTTCACCTGGCAGCTAAACTACTCTGGGTTTCCATTAAAACCAATTATTCTCAAGACCAATGGAATTTAATGGTGGTTCAGTGACTCTCCCAAACTCTCACATGATTCTCTTGTGGGCTTAAGGCTGCTAACAAACCTTGTTGAGTTTGCCTGCAGCCTCATAGACAGGTCCCTTCTTCACACCCACTTTGTACTCAGTTAAGGTTCAAGCATTGGGAAAGGGGATGCTGAAAACCACCACATGTCCCTTGCTTCAAAAACACTTCACTGCCCAATCTTTACTATGACCACACACTAAGGGCCACATCAAACCATCACTCACCTATTCCCTGGGATTCACTGCTAATTCTTGGGATGGAACTCAGTGCATTGCCAGCAGAAGCCACTGCTCCCAGTGACACTGCCTGCATTGAAGAACTACCAGAGAGCTTTTGGGGGACAGAGTTCAGTCCTCTGGGGTCCTTCATCAGGAGGAATGCCTAACACTGGCCAGTTCGAAACCTACCATCGCTTAATTGTGTTGGGCTACTTCTGAGAAGTAACACACCTGTCCATAACTGGCAGTACCATTAACACATGAAAAAAAAAATCCAGGGCATGGGTTTAGAGCAAATCAATTAACTTATCTTTTCAAAGCTAATGCAAAATATTTTTTGAAGAATTACTTATCAAGAGGACTTGATCAGATTTTCCAGTGGCTGCATCTTCCAAATTTTTGAGTAGATTGGAGGACACATGTAATACTTCATCAGTACCTCCGAACAAACCTTCCAGGTCTAGATCTGGCACCTAATGAAGAAAAGAAACGTGACTGCTGGTAAATGTTTTGTATTTTAAGCTGCATTCCAGTCATGACCAGTGGTTTGTGGTTGGGGTTGGGTGTTTTATTTAATGTAAAGAGGCCAGTAGAAACAGTGAATTCTAGAAATCTGAAACAAAATACCAAACCCTGGAATGATGCACCCATAGTGTTTTCACCCAGTAAGCAAAAATGAGCTAATGCTTCCAGTGGAATGCTTGCTCAAAATTTCCGTATTCCACAAGAGTTTGAATGGATTGTCCCACCCAAAATATTCAGCTGTTTTTCTCCTTTGGATACTGACTGTACACTTCTTCATATTTTCTGTTTTTTATGAATTCGACAAAAATTCTTGAGATTGAAACTTCCCATTAGCAGAGGATGCGAGTAGGGCTGGCTTTTTGGTGGTAATCATAACAGAAACATGGTAATGGGAAAATTTAAATGCGTAATTTCTGTGAGCAAGATTTCATTAAGGACAGGCCAGCATGATCTGTAACTGCGACAGTGGTCCCAGCATTAAAATCAGTCGCCCCAGTTCCATAGGTATTGGGCTTTAGGCCTCTTTTCCACGAGGCTGGTGCATGACTGAAGAAACTTTCATGGTCAGTCACCTCTTGGAATTCACACTGCTAATATTTCCTGGCAGAAATTATAGATTACCACAAAGCCATGACTGGAAATATTGTATAAAATAGGAAGAAACATTAAGTAGGTTACATGGCAGGAGCCGACAGTCTATGCTTTAGATAACTGAGGTTGATGGAAATAATCAGAACTGTTGCAATATATTAAACATATCACACATTCAACAATTTACATCATATTTCAGAGGCTTATGTAGCTATCTCATCAATTCTCGTCTACTCGCACAGCCAGCAGAGTACTTTGCAAGAAGCTGACAACAATATTAGGCCAGAAGCATTTTGCATTCTTGGGCAGGAGTCTGCCTTCAGATGCATCCAAACACTTTCAGGTCCCAATCCCAAACATCAAAAGGGAGGTATGAACTTAGTCACATGCTGTCACTTTCCTGGATGTTGAAGGCTAATACCACAGAGGACAGCCAATATTTGTTAGTGTCAAAAGGAGATAGGTGAGGTGAAAACAAAAGACATGGAAATGACTATTCTGTTTAAGGAATACAACACCAGATCACTCTAATGCAAGTTATTTTTGGATACTACTGTTTTTACATTCCATCAATGTGGGTCCAATTTAGAGGCATGTTGGCAGCATTTTAGATTCAGTATGTATGCTCCAGTTCGTCGAAGGGAGGAACAAAGACCTGGCATCCAAAGTAGGGCTTCCTTAGGCTTCATCAATTGAGATACCACCCTTGAAGTACTGTGTGAGAGAGATACAAGGTACTGTTTCAAGTGGGTGACAGGAGAAAGCCACCCAGCCAAACAGAGCAGAAGGTGGCAGAATTTGTGAGCTGCAGGAGTGTCTTGTAGACGAGCTGAGTGGAGTGCTGTGAGAGGGTTAATGGTGGAGGGTGAACACAGAAGTACAGCTTTATAACTGTGGGCTTCTCATGCATCCTAAACAAGGGACTCTGTATCATTATTTCATACTAGTGCATGTTATGTTAGCACTGTTTTTCACCCACATTATTTGGTCCTTATGCAGAATTAGAAAGGGTGATGTTTGAAGCATGGCAGAGCATGGCACTGGACTTCAGGAGGCGGTGACAGAGGCAATGGAGGACAGAGACAGCTAGGCTAAGCTGGGCACAGCTGCAGGACCTCCACGAATTACAACAAAGGAACTTTAGTTTGCCCAAGCAGCAGAGAAACATAGACCTGCATGTTGTTGTTACTCCAAAGTAATGCAGGGTCACGAACTGAGAATGGACAAGCTCATACAGCTGATATATACCACCATGGCTCAGGGTTTTGAATGCATAAGACAGTGGTTATCCTCATAGAGAAGTGTGTGCAGCAGCATTTGGCGTGTTTGCAGAATGTCACACTCTGCAGCATTGACCAGTCAGTGATACAAAGAGGCATGGAGTGGTTATCAGTTGCACCTGAGCAAGCAATCTAGAGGGCCATCAAATGATTGAGGCAGTCACTGAAGTGAACAAATGTGCTCCCTCACAGATATTATTACAATTATTAGCCTCCTTGCACTTGTTGTCTGCGGAAACACTCGTATAACAAGGCCCAGTGGCAATGATCCAGGTACACTAGCCTCTGGAGATGCCCAATTGACATGTACACGGCCATGATAACTTAAACAGGCATCGCAACCACAAGAAGAAAAATGAACAGACTGCCTCCACTTCAGCTGGAGTTAAAGTGGACCACCACGTAGAAGTGGGTGACAGTTTCTTTATTCATTTATGGGATGCGAACGTGGCTGACTGGGCCAGCATTGCTGTCAGTCCCTAGCTGCCCTTGAGAAAGTGGTGGTGAGCTGCATTCTTGAATTCCTGAAGTCCTACAGGCACATCCATAGTGCTGTCAGAGAGGTGAATTCAGGATTTTGAGCCCGCAACGCTTAAGTAGGTGTGTTATATTTCCAAGTTAATGTGACTTGGAGGGTAACTTGCATGTGATGTTGTTCCCATGTAATTGCTGCCCTTGTCCTTCTGGCACTGCTAAGTGGTTAGCACTGCTGCCTCACATCACTGGGAATCTGGGTTCAATTCCAGCCTTGGGTGATAGTGTGGAGTTTGTACAATCTCCCTGTGTCTGCATGGATTTCTGCTGGGTGTTCCTCAGTCCAAAGATGTGCAGATTAGCTGGACTGGCAATGCTAAATTGCCCATAGTGTTTAGGGATGTGCGAGCTAGGTGGATTAGCAATGGTAAATACAGGGTTACAGGGATTAAGTAGGGAGCTGGGTTTGGGTGGGATGCTCTTCAGAGGGTTGGTGAGGACTTGATGGGCCGAATGGCCTCTTTCCACACTGTGGGGATTATATGATTCTGGATGGTAGTGATCATGGATTTGGAAGGTGCTGTGTAAGGAGCCTTGGTGAATTTCTGCAGTGCATCTTATACATTGTTAGGTAGTAGCATTACGTACATCGATGGTGGAGGGAGTTCATATTTGTGGCTGTGGTGCCAATCAAGTGAACTGTTTTGTCCTGAATTATGTAAAGTTGAAGCTGCACTCATCCAGGCAAGTGGAGAATATTCCATCACAATCCTGACTTGTAAATGATGGACAGGTTCTGGGCAGTTACTAACTTCACAGTTCCTAGCATCTGGCCTGCTCTTTTTGCCATTGTATTTATAATGGCTCATCCAGTTCAGTTTCCAGTCAATGGTAATCCCAGACTGTTGATAGAGGGGGTTTCAGCAATGGTACTACCATTGAATGTCAAGAAGCACTGGTTATATTGCCTCTTGTTAGAGACGGTCAATGTTTGGCACTTGTCCAGGTCTTGCTGCCTGTGGCATTGACTGTTTCAATACCTGAAGAATGACAAATGATACTGAACACTACGCAATCATCAGTGAAGTACCCACCCTAGGCCTTATGATCGAGGAAAGGTCATTTATGAAGCAGCTGAAGATGGTGGGGACTAGGACAATACTCTGAGGAACTCCTGCACAGATGTCTTGGAGCTGAGGTGACTGTCCCTCCAAAAACCACAACTATCATCCTACATGCCTGGTATGACTTCAACCAGTGGAGGTATTTCCCTTCAATTTCCTTTGACTTTAGTTTTGCTAGGGCTTCTTGATGTAGCCTTGAGATCCAGGGCAGTCACACTTGATGCCCTTGTCGCAGCCTCGATAGCTAAAGACGCTGGCATGGTAGGGAGTGTTAGGGCTCCTCAGACTGCATGCTCCGGGCCAGCCACATCCTTCTCTCTCTCTCTCTCATTTTCCATCTTTTTCATTCTCTTTTCTTTCACTTTCTGCCGTTTTTGGGAAGCGGGAGCGGTGTTGAAGGGTCATCAGCAGCAGTGGTGGTGGGATCGAGGACCTTGGACACTAAAAAAAAAATTCATGGTGTGGAGCATGGTTACGGGAATAGTCAGCTAAAAGGAACAAGGTGTAGGTATAATTGGGTTATTTTTGGCTGGAGACTACTGGAGTGCCACAAGGTTCAGTGTTGGAATGTCAACTGTTCACAATTTGTTTAAATGATTTGGATGAAGGGACCAAATGTATAGCTGTTAAATTTGCTGATGAAACAAAGACAATGAGTATGGTAAGTTGTGAAAAGGGCAGAAGGAGTCTACAGAAGGTTAATTGAGTAGGCAAGAATTTGGCAGTTGGAGCATGATGTTGGAAAATATGAACTTATCCATTTAGGCAGGAAGAATAGAGGAGTAGCATATTACTTAAATAATGAGAGACTGCAGAATCCTGAGGTACAGTGGATTCTAGATGTCCTGGTATATGAATCACAAGAAGTTAGTATGCAGTTACCTGTGGAATTTTTTACTACAGAAAGCAGCCAAAGCCAAAGCATTGTATGATTTTAAGGTGGTGCTGTACATAGCACTCAGGGCTAAAGGGATCAAACGATATGGAGGAAAAGGAGATCAGCCATGATCATAATGATTGAAGGAGCAGGCTGCTCCTGCTCCTATTTTCTATGCTTCTATGCAAGTTACAGCAAGTAATTAGGAGGGCAAAATAAAATAATTTATCGCAAGAGGAATGTAATATAAAGGTGTAGCGTTTTTCCCCAGTTGGACAGGGTATGAATAAGAGCACATCTAGACAACTGTTTGAAGTTTTAATATTCTTATTTAAGAAATGATATAATTGTATTAGAAGCATATTGAAAATGGTTAAGTCATCTGGAAATCAGGATAATTTTTTTGCAAAATGCAACAAAACCTGTACTTACACCAAGCATAGCTGGTGCACCATCAGTTTTTTTTAAAATTCATTCACTAGATGTGGGGATCACTGGCTAGGCCAGCATTTATTGCCCATCCCTAATTGTCCAGAGGGCAGTTAAGAGCCACATGTAGTCCAGACCAGGAGAGGATAGCAGATTTCCTTCCCTAAAGGACA